GCTTCATGTACTGTGAAAGATATACAAAGCTTCATCAGATTTGCTAACTTCTATCAGTAATTTATACAAAACTTCTCAGATATCACAAGATCACTTACAGAACTTATCAAGAAGAACTCAGTATTTCAGTGATCAGCAGACACTGAAGCTGCATTTATATAGATAAAGAAGATGTTCATTAATATCTCTCTGCTAATAATATTTAACTCTGATTATGAAACAGTTATTGAAGCTGACTTCTCTAACTATGTTACAGAAGAAGCTATATTGTAATATAATAATAAAGATGTCTTACAATCATGTGTCTTCATGTTTAAGAAATTAAGTCCTGCTGAATGTAACTATGAGATCTATGATAAAAAACTTCTTACAATTGTATACTGTCTAGAAGAATAAGACTCTGAACTCTGAAGTGTCTCTGAATTTAAGATAATCACAGATTATAAGAATTTCAAGCACTTTCTCACTATCTATATACTCACTGAATAACAGATGTTATGATCTGAGTTCTTAAGCTGCTTTTATTTTACAATAGACTATCATTTCAGCAGTCAGAACTTGATAATAGATACTCTCTTATAAGTTATAATAAGAGCAAGATATATCTTCTGATGTAACAGACATCTGTTGAATGAACTGAGAACATCAGCTTCTAGATCTGAAGATATTAGTTAATCAAGATGAAATAACTCATGACACTATACATACTTCTTTGATTAGAACACACTCTCTTCAGACTGATACTGATACTGATACTGATACTGATATCTTAACTTCTTCTGAATCTACATTGAATGAATTATAGCATGTAATAGTTCAAACTGATGAACTTCTTCAAGTACTCACTATAGCAGTATATCAAGAAGCACTCTGATTTCTCTCAAAACTATGTATAAGAACTGACATCTCAGAATACTTAATTAATGACAATAACAGTCTACAGTTTTATAAGTGACATTGAGTCCTCTACTCTGAACTCTTACATACTCAGATAATGCAAGAGATACATGATTTATATATAACTGACTATTTAGGTTGTAAATAACTGTATTGAATAATCTCTCAGAAGTTCTACTGATCTGAGATATTAAACAGTATCAGATGTTTTATTCAAAACTGTAATCATTGTTTCTCTATTATCTTATGAAAGAACTGTAGAAAAGATCTGCTGAAACTGCTTGATATCTCTGATGAAATCTGATGAGATGTGATAATTAACTTCACTATTAATCTTTCTGAGAGTAAGAACTGTAAGAACATTCTGATCATTATAAACCAATTGAGTAAGAGTGTTATATTGAAACTCTGTAACAAGATGAATACTGAACAAGTCACTGAAGCTTTTCTAAGAAGCTCATTCTATCAGATACACAGATTATCAAGATCTATAGTATCAGATTAAGACTGTCAATTTATAAGCAATCTCTGAACAAGAATCTATCAAGTTCTTAAGATTATATACTATTTGTCAACTATCTATCACTCTGAGACTGATAATGCATCAGAACAGACAATTCAGACTGTAAAGAATTATCTTTATAAGTTCTGCAATCACTTATAAGATAATTGACATGATCTTCTTCTACATGCAGAGATTACTATCAATGATTAAGTCACTGTTTCAACAGATATAAGTCTGTTCTTTCTTATACATAGATATTATATGAAAGTGTTGAATCTTCTAGAGATTACACAGTTCACACTGAATTCTCACAGTCTGATTCAGATCACTGATAATATAGTAACAAAGCTCTGAGATGCCTGCAATTGAGCAGAGGTCTTCATGACAGCTGTAAAACAAGATTAAGAGAATTATATCAATGTTTATCAAGATCTCACTGAACAATATAAGATAGAAGATCTGATATGATTGAATCTTAAGAATATATGAATCACACATTCATCTTGTACACTAGATTACCATCATATCAGATATAAAGTGATAGAAGTTCTAGATAGTCACAACTACTATCTTAACACATCATCAGAAATTCATGATGTATTTCACACAAGCTTACTCTATCATACTATCACTGATTCATTCTCTTCTTAGCTAATCTCTGACTGACAGTTATCAGACATTATAGAAGAAGATAATGAGCTTGAGTAAGAGATTGAGAATATTCTTGATAAGAGACTCTGCAGCTGCAGCTAATAATATCTCATGAAATGAATTAACTATGATTAACTGACCTGAACTCTGAGTTCTGTATTATCTGAAATAGCAGCTCTTGATCAATGAGAACTACTTCTGAAAAGAAGGAACTAATGTGACAGGCTGTGCCTGATCAATTATATAGACTATTCTGTTACACTTCACAGATTTCAACTACTTCATTCTCAAACATGTACACTTCAATTCTCAGTCATTCTCAATCACTGATTCTCAGCTGTCATAAACACATATAGATTCTTCCACTCCGAAGCTTCACTGTATACACCATCACATACATGTGTAAATATTCATCTTGATTGCTGATTCTCGCACTTTCTCATTCTTTCCTTCTCTAATGTTTTTCTCTTTGTCATATAAGACCTATCAATATAATATCAATCTATTCAGTGTAGGCCTCATACACTGTGTATCTATTCAAAGATAGTAATATGAAAATAGTACAATCTTTAAGTTATATAAATGATATTAATGTAGTCTACAGCTTAAAAACTATTAAAGAGAATTTGAAAGTGATTGAAAAAGCTGTCAAAAAAATCTTTGTCAGAGCAGATATTAATTAAATTCAATTTAATATGAATAAAGCGGAGTTAATTCATTTCTTTTCTAGATTCAATGAGAAAGAACTATCTCTAACACTTTTAAATAGAGAGATTAAACCCAGTTTAAATGTCAAATGATTAGAAGTATGATTAAACTCTAAGTTCAATTTTAAATATTATATTCAACAAAGAACTGTTAAGGTAGAAAGACTATTAAATAATATTATCAGACTATTAAATACTGAAAGAGATCTATTCTTTCATACTATGAGACAGTTATATATAGTCTGTATTATCTCAGTAGCTGATTATGAAGTTCAAGTTTGATGAAATAATCAAGAAAATTTCACTGAACTCTTTCAAAGTCTGTAAAACAGAGCTTTGAGAAGAATTCTAAAAGCATTTAAATCATCTTCTATTTAAACAATAAAAATTGAAGCTTCAATTCTCTCTTCTACTCTTAGATTTAAAAAGACCTGTATGAACTATACTCTGAGAGTTATAAAGATAACCTTAAATTATATAATCAGAGAAAGAGTCTTGTCTTCATTTTTATTAATTAACTCTGAAAATAAACTGGATTGAAATAGATTTCTTGATTGAAATGAAAATAATTCTTTAAAGAAAATGCCTTCTCAACTGTACAGACTACACTCACTGATTAAAAATTAATTTTCTTCTTTAAATATTGAAAAAGTTGATCATGAGAAGTTATCTCTCTGAAGAGAAAAGCTTGAATCTCTTATAGACTTATAAATAAGTAAACTATCTAAAGAGAAAGAATATGAACAGTATTTGAAGAGAATTTCTATAATTAATATAAAAGACTCTATTCTGATTTATTCAGATGACTTAAAAAACAAGAATTTAAATAGATTAGACACAGACATTGCTTATACTGAAGATAACATTAATTTTATCTCAGATTTCTGAAATTTAGACTGTGAATCTGAAGTCTTTGACACTGAACTATTTATAATAGTGAAAGCTTTCAAACTTATTAAAATAAAATCTTATAAAAGTGAAAATAGTTTGAAAGAGATATAAATATTCTCTGATAGTTAAACTGCTTTAAAAAGACTTAGAAATAGTCAGATTTATAATGATTAAATGAATCTTGAACTAATCTTAAACTCTGTTTTAAAAATTCAAAAGAGAAGAATATCAAAGCTGATAATTCATCTACACTAAGTTCCTGCTTATATGAATATTCATGACAATGAATTAACTGATTCAGCTGTAAAAAAGAGTTCAGAATTAAGCAGATTTATTCAAAAAATTATGTTCTGATCTTTTATAAAGAGAAAAATAAAAGAATCTTGTTTAGATAAGTGAAATGAAAGCTGATAGAAATAAAAAAACAGTATACAATATTCAAGATTTGAAATAAAACTCAAGTGAAAATATTGTGAAATTAATTATAAAAAGAAAATATTCTCCTCTATAATTAGACTGACCGTGTGACCGTGTCTGAGATCAGAATCAGAATATTTAATGATTTCATTATCAATTTAACTGATCTCATTACACTGTTTTAACATTAAATAGTAGTCTCATACTGTCTCAGTAAGACTTACTGTCTACTCTTATCACATTTTTCAAATGAGATTATGATTTTCACTTCTCAATTTAAATTATTTTTATTGTTTTAAATGACCTTAAATCTCATTTAAGTGTTATCAAAAATCATTACTTTTTAAAAAATTAAAAATAGTCTAAAAGAAACCTTAAAATGTCTAAAAATAGTAACTTTATGTCAAGAATGAGACTAAATGAAATTAAATGAGACTACTTTCTTATTTTTTTCAAGTCATGATCTCATTTTAAAATCTGATATATAACTGTGTCATACTTACTCACTCTCTGTAGTGAGTGCGCCACAGCGTTTGAAAAACCACACTGTAAAGAAAATATTTTGAATATAGTAATCTTCAAAAATTAATTAATAATCATCATCACATCTATCTATAATATAAAGATTATCTATATACTCATTAGAAGGTGTAGAATTCACTGTAAGTTGAGATTCTATAGAATTATCTTATTGTGATTAAATGACTGTAGATTTTATAGATTTGATTTCAATTGATTGAAGAGTCTTATTGAACATCTTTTTCATCTCATCTGCTCTACAGATTGTGATCTTGTGATTGACATTCTTAATAGTGAGAACTTCACCTACTTACATCTGCCTGCGGGAGGATTTGATGACCTGATATCTATTTACTTGATAATGATCTGCAAGTTCACTCTCACAGTGCACATTCAATTCCGCCTGAACCATGCTACTTCTGAAGATCTTGTTCAACCTGAATCATGCTACTCTTGAAGATCTTGTTCAACCGCCTTGTCAAACCAGGTGTAAGGGTATTCTTCACATCTTCTAAGACCTCGACTGCTGTATTGATTTGATGATGTAGTTTTGCAACTATCTCTGAGAAGGTTAATTGTGAGAAGGCAGTTGACAGTCAATCTGCAGGTGGTGGAGTAAAGTGATTGTATATATCATCATCATCATTGTATATGTTGAGATTCAGAGCATCATTTTAAATTCATGAGTTTTTGCTTGACTCATTTGTACTCTGACAGGCATTTGATGAATTAATATATTCATATCTTACTTACTGTGAGAGGTGCAGTCTCTGAATCTGTATAATACTGTCTTAACATGCGGTTCATGACAGCTTCAATATACTCAATGATGAATGAGTAAAAATTAATGTTTAACTGATGAATTCATATCTTAATTATCTCTTTCTGACTGTCATTCAATGCTTGATTCAGTGAAGCTCTCATAGTTCTTAATTTCTTCTCATTGATTCTCTCATACAAGATGATATATGAGACTTTGAATTCTCATGACAGAGATGTGATTTTTAATTTTGAATTGTTTTTGTACATGTCAACAGCTCTTTGCAACTGCTTCTCAGTGTAATTAGAAGATTTAGACATGATTATAATTAATAATGATTATTTGAAGATGAAGAATAAAGATATTGAAAATATTTTCTTTACAGTGTGATTTTCTGTACACTGTGATGCACTCACTACAGAGAGTGAGTAAGCATGGCACGGTTAGTCACTTTGCATGTTTTTTTAATGATTAGTCTTAGTGAGATTCACATCAAGAAATATATGAGATCAGATTAAATGAGATCAAATATGAAATTTATAATCCCGGCGGCCAGTAGACTGGCCGCTGAAACCATGAATTTCACATTTGATCTCATTTGATCTGGTTCTATACATTTCTTGGCGTGAATTCCGCTGGGACTAATCATTAAATAAACATGCAAAGTGACTATATATCAGATCTCAAAATGAAATCATAACTTGAAAAAAATGAGAAAGTGGTTTCATTTGATTTCATTTAGTCTCATTCTTGGCATAAAGTTACTATTTTTAGACATTTTAAGGTTTTTTTTAGACTATTTTTAATTTTTTAAAAAGTAACACTTTTTGATAATGCTCAAATGAGATTTAAAGTCATTTAAAGCAATAAAAATAATTTAAATTGAGAAGTGAAAATCATGATCTCATTTGAAAAATGTGACAAGAGTAGACAGTAAGTCTCACTGAGACAGTATGAAACTACTATCTAATGTTAGAACTGTGTAATAGAATCTGTTGAATTGATAATAGAACTATCAAAAATTCTGATCCTAGTCTCAGACACAGTTACACAGTCAGTCTAGCAGCCAGTCTATCTATAATACAGCTGAAACTAGACCATGACTATTTCAAATCTTATATACAAAGATTTGATAATAGATTTGATTCAAAGAATACTTATTCTATAATACAAATGAGAATTCTGAGTCTATTCTAATACACTGTACATTATACAATAGTCTCAGAGTCAGATTGAAAGAGAAGTATAATCTAAATTAATTAAATATAAGATTCTTATTCTCAACTAAGATAGAAATTTAAATACTTAATAAACTTTCTATCAGAAACTCAAGCAGCTATACGAAAATGACTGAATTCAGAAATATCTGAATATGAAGAGAAGAAAATTGATCAGATATAGTCTATTAAAACAGCTATATACTATCTTTTAATAATTTGTTTTTTTACAGTCTCTCTTTATTTTACTTTACTTTTTTCTTTCTATTCTTTTCTATCTATCTATTTAATATGTCTATCTTTAAGACTGTGTTCTCTTTTCTTTTATCATGATTAGACTGGCCGCTGGGATCATGAATTTCACATTTAATCTCATTTGATCTGATTTCATACATTTCTTGACATGAATCTCACTGAGACTAATGATTAAATAAACATGCAAAGTGACTATATATCAGATCTCAAAATGAAATCATGACTTGAAAAAAATGAGAAAGTGATCTCATTTGATCACATTTAGTCTCATTCTTGATATAAAGTTACTATTTTTAGACATTTTAAGTTTTTTTTTAGACAATTTTTAATTTTTTAAAAAGTAATACTTTTTGATAACACTTAAATGAGATTTAAAGTCATTTAAAGCAATAAAAATAATTTAAATTGAGAAGTAGAAATCATAATCTCATTTGAAAAATGTGATAAGAGTAGACAGTAAGTCTCACTGAGACAGTATAAGACTACTATCTAATGTTAGAACTGTGTAATGAGATCTGTTGAATTGGCAATGAAACTATCAAAAATTCTGATCCTGGTCTCACACACGGTCACACGTTCAGTCTAGTCATGATATTATCAAATGATTTCAAAGTATCAGAAGATGTTAAAATACTGTAATTTGTAAACAGTTTTTGTATTCTAAGCTGAAATTTTCTGATTTTACATATCTGAAATTGATGAATATATAATAGTTAACTGTATAGATATAGAAAAAACCCTGAGAACCTTTATTTCTCAGATAGATATCATAGTCTCTGACTGTATACATCTATAATTGAAGAATAATAATAATAATAAAGGTCTCATAACCTGTGAAAGATGTAAAGCTTGTGTGATTGAAAGATTACTAGCTTGTGAAAAGTTATATAATGGAAGGATTAGTAAGCCATATCACGTGACCTGACATGATCTTGAAGATTAATGTTGTTGTGTTATATTATAATCTAACTACGCGAGTTACACTAAATAAATAGATTGAGATGATATGTAACTAGAGTAGATGTAGTAATCATCAACACTCTCTCTTGCTACACTGTGACCTATAATAAGCTGCCACTCAGAGCCTTCTTCATCCTCAAATCTTTCAAAAATGCAATAATAATTAATTACATGAATCAGACTCTGATTTTCTCATTAGAAAAGACATCTGTACAGCAATAACTGTAAAAATCAAGAAATATATGTAAAATTCATTGATTCACTGTATCATCATTATCATTCAATCATTCCTTCTTCTCAATTTCCTGAATGTCAATTCTCTTGATAAATTCTTCAAATGCAGGCTTTATCAGTGACTTGATGAGCTCATCAGCTATGTTCACTGTAGAATCAACATATTTCATCATGATTTTCCCTTTTTCAATCAAATTACAGAGAATATGATATCTAATCTCAATGTGACACAACCTTCATGTTAAGGATTCCTCTTTTGCTAGATCAATTGCTCTCTTATTATCAACTCATAGATGTGAGCATATTTTCACTTTTTCATCATTCATCAACTCAGTATTATATAACATATCATTCAATCAGATTATCTTACAAGCTGTCTCACTAGCTGTAATATATTCAGCTTCTGTGATTGATTTGATGATAGATGTCTGTCTCTGTAATCATCATGAGATCAGTGACTCATTAATCAATATAATGTAGTCAGTAGTTGATTTGTATTGAGAATTCACTCTCACTCAGTCTGAATTGCAGTATATTACAGAACTCAGACTTACATCATCAATCTTCTTTCTGTATAGTATATCATGGTTTTTTGTCTTCTTGACATAATATAGAACATGCTTCAATACTGCTCAACATGCTTTGTATGAACATGAGTTAAAATGTGAGAGATAATTGACCGCGAATGCCAGGTCTGACCAGCTGCTTAAGATCAAATATTGCAATAATTTCAATTCTTGATAATATCTTATAGCTGTAAAGTCATCATTTAATCCTCTTCTCTCATCAGGTGAGAATTTCAGTTGTATATCAGTCATCATCAGAGTGCCAGCTGAATTTATCTTATTCATGCTGAAATCTTCAAGAATCTCCTCAATATAACAGCTCTGTGTAACTGCTAGATCATCATTTCTCTGATGTTTGATCTCTATTCTAAGATATAGCTTGATCTCTTCAACATTCTTTATCTCAAATCTCTTTATAATCTCTCTTAATACTCAGTCTAATTGCTGTTCTTGAGATTCTGTCACCTGATAATTATTAACATGCAATGTCAGATAGATCTTATGAACAGAGTGATATAGAAATGCATCATTATAAGATGATATCTTGAATCTCAATGTAGTCAGATACTCTGTTGTAAGGAAATATCATACTCTTGCAGCTTGCTTCATTTCATATAAACTCTGACAGAGTAATCTTATCAAGCTCTCTCTATCATGCTTAACATCTGTGAGCAGTTGCATATAGATCATCTCATTCTGTGATAGTATGTCATTCAAAAACGCGGATACATAGTCAATCAATTTAATCTTTCATTCTTTAGCAGTCAATATAGTGAATAGACTGTGTGATATAGACTCTGATACCACTGTAGTATATAATCTTGTATAATGAATACCCTGCTGTTGCAAGAACTCTCTAATCACTCAGCAAGCTCTAAAACAGATGATTTTCTCCTTATTATTGAATTTTTAATCATATACTTATTTATCTGTAAGAATATTCATTTCCAGAGTCTTCTCAATAATAATATATATCTTCTTCTATTCAAATATCTTAATCTTCTTTTTCATTGCCTTATGTCAATAGTCTCAGTCTGAGCTTCTCTTGACTTCTGTCAGCATAGTTGATCAGTCTATCAGAACACTTAGAACAGAATCATTCTCATTAACAGAGTCTTCAGACTCTTCATTCATGATAAGCTGTGTCTCATTATCTAGAAGATAGATTGAATTAATTACACTCTTTAAGTTCTTATTTACAATCATCTTCAAAACATCTGACTTTTTCTTCACTAGGTGTTATAGTAAGCAGTGCTGCTATCTCTCTCAGACATTCAGAATGTTCAATTTATTAGACAATTCATTGAATTCTCTCACTGTATTTACAGGTGTATTTACATCCATGTCAAGAGCTTTATCAAATATAACATCTCATGCAATCTCAAGACAATATGCAACAGAATCTCACACACAATATTGATATAATTCTTGATATTCAATCAGCTGTCATTCCCTGCTGTCAGTTCTATCTGCAAGCTTATTTGACACTTTCAAATTCTTCTTATAGATCTTGCACTCTCATCTCTGTATTCAATGAATAGAAGGTTGCATCTCAGTTCACACTTTAAAAGATGTAAGTAGTGTTTCTTTCTTACATTCAAATATCTTTATTGATGTTGAAGATGTGTTGATTATCATGATTATAGCTTGTATTACTTCATCTCAAAGTTCTCTTTCTAATTCACTATTAAATAGTAGGCTTTACATCTTTTCTGTAACTATTTAATTCATGTGTTTCACTGAGTCATTTGATTGTGATGTATCAGATGTAGTCATTTCATATACTATTTCTTTACTCTGACAGTAGGTCTTAAG